CAAAATTCCTGGACTTGTAATTTATTGTTATGAGTAAATCGTTTCGAAGCATGCATTTTGTTCGTTCGAAGTCTCAAAAATTTAGTTCGAGTCTCAAATTTAGTTCAATTAAAAGATCCAATTCTCGACCATTTGAGACACTGGTCCCACCCTGTCTAACATCATCTCCAGACCCACAGAGTAATGTAGTTAGCTAATGATATGACACCCTTTTGCCTTGGAAGTAACACTAGCTTAGCTTGCTATTAAACTTGTTAGCTTGGCTTGTTCACATGTTTTTATCCAAATTAGGTGGATTTTTTTTTACCAGATTTAAAGAAAATTGGCAAAAGACAAAGAAGGAAGTGCTTTTTGGGTACCAATCCTCTTGAAAAAAATCACATCATAATCACTTTAATATGTTTCAATGATAAAGGGAATGTTTCATAAATTACAATTTCCTCCAATATCAGAACAAATATTGCAATTGCATTATCAGTCAAAGTAATAGCAATAAGTAATTATTTCCAAATCATGCATCCCTAATTTCAGCACCAACTTTGGTTTGATAGCTTTACATTAAAACACATTAAATCTTTGCAACTGCTTTCAGTATGCATTTATCTGCTTTAAATGTGTATCCTTTGGTCTCCGAAACATCAGTGTAACCTCTTTAAATGCTGCCTGTCCACACTCCAGCTTATCAGCAGCACAGTCTTGTCTCTCTCAGGGACAATTAAGGTATTTTAATCTTGCAGTCAGAAATTATTTTTTAATACATTCAAAATTTAAGTAAGCAGTTATTTTAAACATAAATCAATCAGGTGGATACTAACTTGGAGCCATTTTGCCCTCATTGTAAATGCTAAAGGTTGCCTGACAGGCAGGTGACTAAAAACAATATATTTTGTTCACTATATAAGACCCCATGTACACGGGAACGTTTGCGTTTACGCACCAAATTCGTTTTCAAAAAAAGTCTTCCATTCACACGCATTCGGCTTATTTAACGTGTCCGTTCACACGAGACCACTGGAAACGCTGTAGTACATATGCCGGGCCTGTAAGTGGCGCTGTACTTTCACCACAAAATGCAATCATGCAAAATGCACTTTTGTACGTCTTTTATACATGAATATGTGTCCCCGGTGAGTCAGGGAACTCACCAAGCGTCAGAAAACACAACCCTCTCTCTTTTCCTCCATACCCAAATCTCTAAAAACGGGGCTGCAACGGATCTGATACAGACTGATGCAGATTTTAAAATAGTCTGACGTCAGGAACGTGGAGCTCCGCCTATATGGCCAACTCTCCACCTATCAGGGGAATGGGGGGTTGGGCCACGGCCATTGCCGCTCGAAAGCGCTGGAGATGCTGACCAGGAGACCAGGCCTGTAAGTGGCGCTGTAGTCTGCCACAAAAACAGTGAAGAAGACTTCCCGCGCATGGTTGCCCTTCTGTTTAATCTCCGCTGTGGCTCGTTTTCTCCCTACCTGAGGCAAGCGTTTGCTCCTGCTGCTGTTATTCAATGCAATCCCTCCCTCGCTGTAATTCTCTCCGGTAGTCCACCAGCAGATGACAAACACCCACCTCTCCGCCTCTTCCAAGGAACGAGGGGACTGTGCGGCAGAGTTTCTGTTAGATTTTTTTTCGCCGGTCAACATGTCCGTTAAAGTTTAAATCTTCCGGACAAAATTTGAAAAGTGCCGGTCAAAGGTCTTCTTTGTTATTTATTGAGCTTTAAAACAAATGAATAATGACTCTATATAATGATATAAGAATAAAACACGAAGGACGTAAATCTCTTTTTCTCCCCCTCTTCTGAGAGCCCAGCAGCTGATCTCAAAGCACGCTCCCCTCTCCTGCAGGGGGGCGTGGTCAGCTGCAGCTCATTTGCATTAAAGCTACGTCACAGAATCAGCTGTCTCCTCCTGATTGGTGGAGTTGGCCCAATAGCCGTAGCGCCACTTCTGTGACGTCACAGAAGTGTTCAAATCTGGATCAGTCTGTATCAGATCCGTTGCAGCCCCTTTTTTAGAGATTTGGGTATGGAGGAAAATAGAGAGGGTTGTGTTTTCTGACACTTGGTGAGTTCCCTGGAACACCGGGGACACATATTCATGTATAAAAGACGTACAAAAGTGCATTTTGCATGATAGCAAACCTTCTCTGGATGTAAAGCACACATGCGCAGCCGTCAGGTCTCAACAGATAACCTTAGATGTTAAGTACTGCTCCGTGATCAAAACTCCACAGGTAACTGCCCTCTGGGGCTCAGTCAGACAGTTAAAGCATATTACTAGCATCAACCTGGCATATGGAGATGGCACACACACACACAAGCTTTTACATTCACTATCAGAATGGCCTGCAGTGACTCAGTGGGGAGCGAAGCAACAGGCAAAGAGGAAGGATGAAAGTTGAGGGATAAGTAGAAGGACTGTGGAGAGAGTGTTAAAGTTAAGGTGATTGAGCAGAGGGAGTTAGTGGAGAATCGGGGGATAGGGGATAAGAATAAAGATGGAGGGGGTGGGGTGGGAAGGCAACTGGTATTTGCAGATGAATGTGGCAGCCAGCAGAATAATAGACAGAAAGCCAGTCAGCAGTAAAAGGAAAGACAATAGAGGAAAGGCATTCACTGGCATCTGCAGCCATGTGTGGAATTTACATTTGTGTGGATGCATGACTGTTTATTTTTGGACAGATCTGTTCCTGAAGAATGTTGGCTAGTTTTGGTAGCTGCCTACCTGCCTCTTAAACACTAACTTTAAAGAGAATCTGGACAGAAATGTTTAACACTAACAAGTGTAGCACTCTGACCAGCAGCAGGTGTTAGGACTATGTTTTGTGTTGTGAAGAAGAAAGAGCAGACATGAGACTGGCTGAGCAGAGAAGAATTCCCAGTGTGGCGATTGGCTAACAGCTGCAACACAGACAAATCCACCAAAGAATCTCCACAGTGGATTCCTTGAATTCCTCCTCGGGTCTCAGCTGACATCTTGAGCCAGCTGTAGACTTGTTGTTCTGAAGAAAAACTCATTGGTAATATTAACTTTCTTAGGGGTGTTACATATTAATGAGACGCATAATAGATATTTGGAACCGATACAAATCTGTAGTAAAAATAAAAACAATTTCTCAAATATATGTTTAAAGGGGCCCTTTAAGCTTTTTGGGTTTTCCCTTTCCTGTAGTGTGTTCAATACGTTTATGTGAATGTAAATGGTCTGCAAAGGCTAACATCCCAAAGTTCCCTGAAACACCTCCATTGCTTTGTTTACTTCCCTAACGTAGTGGCGTCACGTAAAACTTGCGCTTCTATTGGCTTGCGCTCCAACACAATAGGCGCGTTCACACCGGAGTACTTTTCCCCCATACTTTGCCCGTTTAGTTCCGTTAGTACCCCTTATGTCGCGTTCACACCAAAAAGAGTACTTAGTGCCGGGAACTTTTACCCCCATTTTTATTGCCTGCTAAAAAAGTACCAATTTCTATTGGCTGTGCAAATTGCAAACCACGCCCCGTAAAACACTGAAAAGTTTTTTGAAGCCGCCATTGTATTTGCTGTTATTAGCATTATTAGCATTAGCCCCGCGCACCAACGGAGAGAGAATAACTTATAGTGTACTTAGTGCCGGCACTAAGTATGGCAAAGTACTTGGTGTGAAAGCGGCTATTGTACGTAATAGGCTAAGGGACGGGACATCTCTCTGTTGTGGTTGACCTGAAAAATAATATAATAGGGTCCCTTTAATGCCATCAAGCATATGTGTGCAATAAATAGTGCTGTAGCAACGCGTCGACTTAAAAATATCGTCGACGACATATTTCCTCGTCGACGCATTGCCACACACACATGGGTCACCCAAAACAACAACAAGCAGTTCGCAATCGCACTTTAAACACTATGGAGACTGAAACGGCTACCACCTCCTCCTCACAGGATTGCGCACGAAGCCCTGCAAAAAGCCCCCAAACAAAAACATCTCGCCTTAGGTCTTCAAAAGCATGGGAATACTTTAAATTTAGTCCAAAACGCAAAGGCATTGTTATTTGCAGTCTTTGCCAAATGGAGTTGGCATACCACACTATCACAACAGCGATGTTGGAGCATTTAAAGCGGAGGCACCCCCTTGTCTCTCGTGGAGGGAACAATGATAAGTAAGTACTAACTTTGGCTAAATTAATTCCACGTTTGTGTAGTGTGTTGTGCAGCTTGAGTTATGTGCACTTCTGTAGTGCTAACTATCTTATAGTTCTCCGTGCGGTTTGTTCGTGCTTGGTTGGTTAGTAGTTAATGTTAGCTACCTAGCTAGCGGCGCCAGCTGTGTGTTAGATAACGTTTGTCAGCATTTAATGTTGGCTGGAATGGTAGCTAGTTTACGTCTGCAGAACACCGCAATCTAGCCGCTACTAACCCGGAACGAACAAACTGCACAGAGAGCTAACTCATGTTGTGGTCGTTTACGAGTCAAACAAACATTAGACTAACGTTGGTCAGCTTATAGTATCAATTTATGTCAACTAACGGAGCCAAGCAATGTCCAGGCCAGGGCTGCACGTAAGCTGGTGCGCAGTTGTCATGCATTTCTCTACTGTGCACGGCACAGTGTTTGCACTACTATTTTTTATCTTTTGTAATTTTGTACAGAAAGAGTATTTTTTGTTGGACTAGTAAGAGTAAACAGGCTGGGTCTTTTTATTTTGTATAATTATATTCTATATTTTTTTATTTTGCTGTGCAATAAAAAAAAAAACTATATTATTAAGAATTTTGGTAATTTATTTGATACAATATGATTTTTTATTAATCGAAGCCAGAAAAATAAATCGTTAGATTAGTCGAACCTAATGCGATAAAAATAATCGTTAGATTAGTCGATAATCGATAAAATAATCCGGCGATTAAATC